CTACATAGAACCAGTGAGCCCTATTTTTGCATAAGTTCATAAGTTGATGCTCTGTTTCTCATTGCATGCCACAAAAGACTTATAGAAAGGAATATTTTCGAAGGTAAATATGCATTATTGAGAAAAGTTTCATTCATCACCTAGTTTTATGTTTCATCTTCTTCCAAAGGATTGACTATTTTTACTCTAAACCCCCTATTTCAAGATGATAAGCCTTCTAACACAATATTGATGTCTATTAGCATGGAACACTCATGAGCACGCACATAATCCTCCACATCCAATGGCAACAAACGTTCATAATTCACACGGTTTGGTCCAACTATACCATGGTTAGTGCATTATAATATTGAAGCATGCAAACTATCAATTCAGTCCAAACATTAAATATTAACTGTAATTGCAGTTCATCTTCGTTCACAAGGAAAGCAAGGAGATGAAAACTGACCCCAATCCTCCATCTTCGGTGTAGAATTTGAAGCTTGGGGAAGCTGTCTGCGCTGTATTTTGCTAGATGTTTACCAACATATGAGTACCCGAGCAAAACCAGAGCCGTGAATTGGGGCAACGAGTGAAGGATGGCAAAGGGGTCTTGGGTGGTGATAATGGAATGGGGTAAAACTAGGGTAGCAAGAGACTCGGGCACACTTTCCCAAAGAAAATGATGATTCGCAATCGACTGACGCATGGCATCCCTCCCTTCTCCAATTCTTCCCCTCAATTTGAAAACCTAGAAAACCAGAAGAAGCCCATGGAAGCACTTTTCTAGCTAAAATTTCCCTGTTTTCGTGGATTTTAGGTTTGCCCTGATAAAAGTTCGGCTCGGCTTAAAACGGCTCAGCTCAACTTAAGTCGGCTCGGCTCAGCTTTTATCGGCTCGGCTCAGCTCGGTTCAGCTAAAATATCTAAACTTATTTCAAATAGAATAGACTTTCACTAAACTGAGCCGAGCCGAGCTGAGCCAATGTTAGCCGAGCCAAGCCAATACTAGCTAAGCCGAGCCTACATTAGCCAAGCCGAGCTGATAATAGCCGAGCCGAGGCGAGATAAATTCGCGCTGAGCTGAGCTCATTTTAGCGCAGATAAAAGCCGAGCCGAGTTCTAGAAAATCGATAAAATTGTGGAAAAATTATTAATATAAATGTTGTTAAAACTAAAAAATTTATTTAAATATGTACGAAATGAAAAAAGTATTTTTTGTTAAATCAAGATTTTTAATTTACTCATTGTTACTTTACTTATCTTTACACCAAATTTCAATAATATTAAATTAATAAATAAATAAAGTTACAGGGAATAAGTTTTTTTAAGAGAAGATAAAATGCAAATTTATATCTGCACTATTAAAAAAAAAACGATTTTTTGAAGATCTTTTGAAAAACTCAGAGTTTTAACGGATTTAAAAAAAGCGGAGATTTATTGAAAAAATCGTGTTTTAAATGGGAGACTTACCAACTATAATCTTTGCGTATCTTATTTTTTTCACTACATTTTTTTAACCAAATCTCAAATATTCATGATTCTATAAGTGACCTTTCTTTGTTGGCGATCCATATTTTTTAACCGATTTTTTCCTCCGACCTTTTGAAATAAAACCGATTTATTACCAAAATTTTGATATGCCGATATTTTATTATTCCTTGGGTCGCTAACTATGGCACGCACCCAGTTATTTCATGCAAACAATGGACTTTTCCTATGCTGATAATAATGCTCCTTTAGATCGTGTTTGTGGCTCGTCGACACAAAGGAAGAAACAAAACATAAAAACAAGAACATCACACAAGCAAACCTTGAGAAATTCATGCTTTATAGGTCATGGCTTCCCTAAAGAAAATAAAACCACTTCTAACTTTCCACCAAGTTCATGCACAGTTAAGATTCATCGATGATCTCAAAATGGATTCACTAATCAAATTCCCTTTAAACATCACTCCTACCTCAATAGTGCAACTAGCTGCCCTGTCCATTCATTAATCGAACCAAGATGGCCCAAGATCGACCAAAGAACTTCACATTTTACATGTCAATAAGAACTTTCAATGTGTCAGATCCTTTGAATAACATAGTTCACAATATATTCACCAAACAGAATATATCCAATGGGCGAGGGGTAGCATTCATGCTATGCGAATTTGATGTATAACTTTGTGTTTAAAACTTGAAATCCTTCTTTGCCTTCCCTTCCTTTTTCCTACATCTTGCGCTTCCTCTTTTTATTAGCCTACACAGTTCAAAAAATTAAAAAAAGAAAAGAAAAGTGAAAACCCACTCTAGAATGCACTCAGAAAACCTCTGCCACCAGGTCACTGAAGTTCTTCATGTTGATTTCATGACTTCTCTTCTTCCCTTGTTTCGTCATACATGAACCATGTCACCCAATAATGAATAACTATGTATAAAACTTTGTATGCATGCATCAAACAACACATCAAGAATCTGGGCTCCTATTATAAAAAAAAATACCTTACTTTGCTGCGAAAGTAACATCATCCAAAGCCTTTAATTCACTTTGTCCTAATAGTAGC